ATACATACATAACTTCTGACATATACGCACCTTAAAAATTTTGCGGAAAGTTGGCTAAACTTCCACATACTCCTACGTGCTTTATATCTTGCTGGGAAAATGTTAAGGAGGTATGTGGTGTAATTAGTATTGTCTTCTGATGCTAAGAGTTCTATGAAAGTACATGCAAATGGATTCTTCATACCTTTTCATATGTAGATCTACCGGAGAGACACAAAGGTAGTTAGTTCTTATAAATCTCAAAATTACAAAGTCCTCAGCCCTTCATAGCATATGCTTTTGCTGTCAATATTTACTTTTACGATAGGTCCTATGTTGAAACTAGACCTCCTTTCACATTTTCTCACATTTGTTTAGGAAAAAAATAGAGGACTTGGTCAGCATATATTTTCCTATCGTTATATACAAAAATTAATATGCTTTAGCGCCTTAACGGCTATCACACAAGACCTGACTGATGATCTACTTATTTTTTGTCACACAATCTGTGGCTTAGTAAAAAATCTTCTGAGCTGGTGATCACCGCTCCAGTTAATGATATGATAAGTATTTCAGACACAAAATTGAATATATGCTAACCAGAGATAAACACAATCATGACAAGAAATACTAATAATAATTCTGATCAAAGCGAAATACTTGAAAATCAACTATATAAAGTGCTTTTGTACAAGAAGATAGATGTATTAGCTATTCAGGAGCGCCTAGCCAAAAGAAAACTTGGTATTAATGACAATGCAAACCAAATAGTATTGAATCAAAGTAAGAAAGCAGAAACACTTGATTATACAAGTAGACTATTGTTTAATTTGGTGGAGATAATTATATCGATAGAGGAGCATCTTGAGATTGGTAGCCACCCAACCCTTAATACATTACATCAATATAAAGAAGATCTTATCGATAGATCATTGGGGGAATTTTCACTTAGAGAAAAATACCATCTGCTTTTATATCTGGAAGAGGATATAAGCATTATTCAACATTATCTTGGTATTGTCAGTTATACTAATGAAGAAACAATAAAAGAAGAAGCTGAGAAAGATGTGAGAGCATATATTCAAAAGTTTAGATGTTCCAAGTGTGGTAATACAGAAATTCAGAGGTAAAATACTAATCTTTATTTTTTTATCATACAGGGTATAATCTAGCAAAAAAATCTTCTGAGCTGATCATTGATCCAGGTTAGTTAGATTGGTAGAGTACCCATTCTGGGGCTAATATTCTTTCACCAGCTCTCGACATTAAGGTGGAAATAATACCTCGAGTCGGTGAATGTCTGTTTATAGCTATAGATGTATTAGAATTAAATTGTAGATATGTCCTGTAGCGGGGTCTGAAATTCTGATTGATAATATAGAGGTGTTGTCTTATTGTTTCATTTAATTCAGCTAGCATTGAATCCATCAAAGCCACAAAATTCTCTACATAGATATTTGAATTTAGCTTATCTATAGCTTTTTTGCTAATTTTATCACACCTCCTCAAATTAAGATATTTTAAATTATGACATGATTTAGCAATTTCTTCGATAGCTATATCAGTAATTTTACAAAAGTTAAGGTTGAGTTGTTGGAGACTTGGGTAAGAATGAATAATATTACAAATTGATAGTTTGTAAATATCTGTACAATGAGAAATATTTAGATATTCTAATTTATGGCATGATCGGACAATAGCAAATAGACCTTTACCAGTTATTACGCTCATATTACAGGATACATACTCGTCCTTTTGCAAATTAAGATACTTCAAATTGGGGTATGATTCTGCTATTCGATTTAATGTTTTATCGCTAAATCTTGTGCTAAAATTAAAATCTAAATAAATTATGTTTGGGGACAAGCACATAATGCCTTTGATTTTTTTATCTCAAAGTTGGCGGTAATGTGAAATTTCTAGATGAGTTAGATTTGAGCTATAGACTGGCTTTTGTCTTTTATATACTATTTTCATAAATTTCTTCAATCGAGTGCAATCCTCTCTTTCACCTTTCTTTAGCTCAATGTGTCTCCATAAGATGGGAGCACCACATTTGTACTATAATCAGGAAATAAATAGAGCAGGATAGAGGGATTTATCTATTGCTAAGAAATGTAAAATCTGTTCTAATATTTCTGCTATATTAAAAATGCTTGTACATGTCATAAATAGTGCATATTACACTGTATGTTGTATCTTCAAACTAAAAAATAAAATTATACATATTGATGTTCACTGATCCAAACTATTGGTCAGATTGAGTCATAGCTCAGATTTAACTATCAGCTGAATTGATATGAGATCATACACTTAAGTGTACCTATTGTTAGTATTGAATTACGCATATTCAAGCTTACACCATTTTTCCGCATCCATGGTGAACCTAAGAGTATTTCAGGAAATTGTTCAGGCCAATCTGATCCAATAACTATAAATTCAGTGGGTATGCTTTTATGCTTCTCGCCATTATTTAAGATAATACGTAGATTAACCTTTCCTAATGTAGAATAAGGCTCACCTAGAAATCCGTTTACTCTAGGATTACTATTGTCTTTTGCATATGCTATTTTCACAATTTTTTCACTAATGTAATTTGCATTAGTGCATATGTCAATCCTAAATCAAAAATCTGTGAGGAATATTCTGGACCGTTCAAGATTTACCTCTCTTTCTCATATATCATTTATACTGCTAGCATGTTTTAGATTCTGATCTGAAAGATATTTTAGAATAAATGGTATTAATTCTGGTGTAAGTTGATCAAGTAAATTAGAGCTGTATACATTTTATATGGTTAGAAGATTTTTTCAATGGAAAAATAAGGTTATTGTCGCACAATCTGTGGCTCAGTAAATTCTTCCGAGCTGATGATTACTATCCTGGACTTTCTTCTCAACCGTGCCTTTCTTCGTTGTTTATGAGGGACAGCTTTTTTTTTCTCTTACCTCAATTATCTCAACCGAATCAGAATCTTCAGAAAACTCAGACAAACTGGATTCGTGAAAATCTATAGTAGTAAAATTAACCTCACCTTTTTTTGGCAATTTTTTATATTTGGCAAGAGAGTTAATTCTTATATTAAGTCAACCATAGTCTTCTTATCTACATATTCGTCCAGATTTTCTAATTCGATTTTTATGAATCCTACATCTTTTTCCAGTCTTTTTACCCTCTTTTCTAAAGTATTATATTGGGAATGATAATCTTCCAATTGTTTCTTTAGCGCCCTAATTTCACTGAAAAGTGCACTATATACTTCTGCATTTTGCTCATTTAATCTAAACATCTGGGCTAATTTCTCTGTATATTTGATAACTTTCTGCTCTCTGGACGCATCAGATGAATGATTTTGATCAGTTACTATTTTTGCAATATTTTATATATGATATATCTTGCCTCAAGCGAAAAAATAAAATTACGCACATTGATATCCCGACCCTCTAACCCTTATATGTGAATAATGTGATTAGTTTTTATCGAAGAGCATGAATGGGTTTGCTTGATCGTAAAGCATTCCACAAGGTCTGTAATTTACTATAGTATACCTCTGTGATAGCGCAGTGTTATTTTTAGGATTATGTCGAAGTGCTTGACTAGCGATAGTATTAGCTTTCGATAGATTCCTAATCCCACTCATTACAACTGCAAACACAGCTCCTAAATTACGTAAAAAACTAGGAAGTAATGGCTTACTAGTTTCAGAAAGAAATTCAGCTTTTTTTCAGAAACCTACTCAAAATTCCAGTTTCAAGCGTCCCTGGGTCTCCTAACTGTCCAGAAGATATTACTTCCTGAATCCATGTAAGCAATTGCTTTGCCCGTTCCTCGTTCTTTTCAAGTGATCTAAACACCTGAGGAATATCTTATTGACCTTAGTTTTTTACGTATCCTATTACACCTCTATTAGATATACGCAAATTTTTAATTTCAGCTGGACGGATACTGAGCATAATCATTACATCAACTAGGGTCTATTTGTCAGGTGTATTAGATACATCATACGAATCCAATCTCTCCTTAACTGATTCTAACGAGAAGTGGTCTAGATAATGAATTCCTTCATCTTCGCATAATAAACTCTTTTTCTTTTAGATTTTATTCAATAAAGTGATCATCTCTGAAATCTTCGTAGCTTCGATTATTGCCTCTGGGGCATTAAGCTTCTGCAATCCCATTTAGAGCCTACTGAGACTAGATGTGTAGGCAACTGAATTAGGAGATGTTTCAGCTAATGCTTTAGCTATAACTTTTACTTCTTTTTCACCAAGGCTGACCCGCATAATATGTTGAGCTATTTCTTTAATAGTTTCTTCTTCTGGAATAATATCAGATACTTAGCAAGCACTTTTAGCACAGCATATATTCACTTCCGCTTCTGTCCCTCCTTCTTTGGGGTTACTTGACTTTTAGTTTGACTAGTTCTTTGAAAAAGTATCAACGCAAATGCTTGTTCTTTACTAAAGTTATATTCTTTTTAAAGACGATCGCGAGCCTGATGCCTTTTCTCTCTATCACCTGATAAGAATTCAAGTATTTTTGGTGCATATCGGCTAAGCTCTTCGAGACTCATTTCATTGGTGAGTTCGTGGTCTGTAATGAACTTAGTTGTAATAGCAGACATGTTGTGGTAAGTAGACTATGGTAATAGTTAGATTAATCTGTGGTATTCAGATTATATATTGTGGGATAAAGTTCAATTCGAAAAAAATATTCTGATAATGTTCGCTACCTCATGGTCGGTGGGCAAAGAATATTATAACTTATTGCGGGCTCTCTATAAGGCTACCAGCTGGAGTATCTTTTATATATATTTGAAAATTGCAGGTAGATAGGATATGCGAAAAAATAATAATAATAATTTAGAATTATATATCGCCTATGTATAAAGAACATAAAGACCCTCTTACCCAAACACCTTTCTTATAAACTGGCTTCTTATTCACTCTTTACCAAAGCATACCATTCTTCTGGAGTATGCTTATATTTTTTTGCCATTCCTTATCATCATAAATATACTCCTAGGGTTTTTCCACATCCTCGAACTCCCAGAGATATATTTTTTCGCTTATTAACCTTTTCCTTCTAGTCATGTAAAATAAATCATTCGGGTTTATATTATTTTCTCTAGCAAATTCTATGACTTCTGTGTCAGCTATCATCCTGTCTTGATACATCCGAGATAAGTTGACGTCTTTTTCTATAATCATCATAAACTTATCAGGGTCTTCACCATAATCGATAGCCCATTTTCTGAGACGCTCTTCTTGCTGGATTCTTGTAGATAATATTTCATTATTACTGGGTTGGATACTTTCAACATATTGCTGATACGCTCGATAGGCTTGGAAGGTTTGCTGGTTTCAGATTTATCAATTACTGGCTCAGATAGTTCAGAAGCCTTAATAGTTTCAGATGTTCTAGACGTTGAGGTGACTGGAGCTTCAGTTTTTTCTACCACATAATCGAAGAGAGTTTGAGTTGAATCGTCCTGTTTATCTCCTTTCTTATCTTTACTAATACTAGGTGAAGGTGTATTCTTTTCTGGGTGGGGCGGGATTATTTTTGGAGGAATGATTTCTGGTACATTGAATATGGGTATGTCTGTAGTCTTATTAGCCAGAAACTCATCTGCCATTAGCGCCTCTGGCTGAGGTATATTAGAAAATTCTTTTATATCATCTAGGTCAGATTCACAGAGTTTGGTTACAATCTTTGAGCAGTCGAGAATATACTGATATACTCTTACTCTATTTTCTCGTGAACGCGTCTGATCAATGCCAATTAGTGAAAACTTTTTTCCTAGTATAGCACTATTATATGGTTTTTCCCATTCTTCCCATACCATTCAAGATAATTTTGATATAGTAATGTACAACTTGGTTTGGCTACTTTATCCTCACACCATGAGGAAATATAATTGATTATAAATCGAATAGAAGTAGAAAGCTGATCACGCATTATATCTGATTTCATTTTAGTTGCAGGAATTTCTTGTGGTTCAAAATCTGAGATATCACGACTAAGGAGATATTTCATAACCACTCCAGATGCATCGGGATGGTTAAATACATTTCGTAGTCTTTTAAAATATGCTGTATTATCTCTACAGCATAATGAAATATCATAACAGACTATACGAGAATCTCTTATATCTATCTTGATCAGAGCATCTTGATTGCTTGTAATTATATACCCAGCGAAATCATTTATTCGTTTAGATTCGAGACCCTTGCGCTCTATAGTCACTATTCCTTCTGTTATAAGGGATTTGAGATGCCCATTAAATCTATGCCAGTCTCCACTAAACATTCCAGTCTCATTCATAACAATAAGTTTTTGAGCTTGAATGGCGCTATTAAAATGTTCAGAATTTTCTCTAAATCTGATGTAGCATAATGGAGATATTGTCTCAAGACTTTATTACCAATAAAATCAGTGATAATATTTTTTCCGCACTGTTGTAGTATGGATTTTAGGACTAAGATTGTTCGAGGTTTCTCTTCTAGCTTTTGCACTAAATATGCCTACCAATCCCAAAGATATTCATAAAGTTTCACATTTCCATCACTGATTATATTCAATGTATGCCAAAGAATTGGATCCATAATTTCTTTATTAATTTTTGGCGCTGGCTTAGCCAAAAATCTTAGGAAAAGATTAAAGAAATCTGTATCCGGCTGGAGAGTATTTATTGAATATAGAAGGAAATTCCAATCTTTATAAATTATTAGACCCTTAGTAACTGTTTGGTCTATCAATGACTTTAACTTCACAGATTCACCCCATATTTGATTATTTTGATCTTGAAATCGGCAAGTTTTAGTTCAACTCTCATATCAAAATAAAGCCTATTCTGTCTATATTTACGCTTAATGAGCCACAATTTTGAAATTCCTTGCACGCAGGCAACTGTTGCTTGAATAGCTTCATAAACTTCAATGCGAGAGAATTTCTTACCTAAAGTACACATGCATAATAAGTCCCACCATACGAAATGGTCATTTGGATTTGAAATTCTAGATTGGTCCTTTTTCATTAGACTTTGAAACTTTTTCTCTCTATCTAAAGCTGTTTCGTTAATAGCAAGTTTTAATGAAGGATTTCTCATCCTAGGCTATTTATCTTGATTGGCATGGTAACAGAAAAAGCTATAAAATTTTTTATTTCGTCTGATATATGCATTATCACTGGTATGTTTTCGATCACATAATGGGCATTGTGATGGAGAGGCACGTGATAATGGAAACTTGTCAGAAAAATTATCAGATGGATATGAGAGGTTATATCCTTCAATACCAGCTTCTTTAAGCAATGTTTCTACCACTTTGAATTCGGCTTCGGCTTCAGTGGTTTTGCCAACTATATCATTATTTTCCATTGGGAATCTTTTAACTTCTGACTCTGGAATATCTAAGAGAGGACTTTTTATGACTTCTGATTCATCATTGGACGGTCGAATCATGAAATCAAAGATGGAACTATCTTTTAGATGAATAGTTTTTTTTACACGAATATGTTCTTCTGTTTTTTCATTGTATTTGGATGATCCAAGCATTCATAAGGAAAATGATTGTTTGTTTGCTATATTGTCTACAATACCTTTATTCTGTAATCCTACTAGGAGTTTTTTACGAACAAGTTCAGTGAATATAGCAACTTGAGCAATATTTGGAAGTCTCATGCCGAAAGATAAGACATGTAGAAATATTTTTTTCTTATCACTACTTTTGACAATAGACATACAGTCCCCGCCAAAAGTAATGGTGGTCAATTTTTATAACTTAAACCATGCGATTTATTAATAAACCCAATTAAAATTTTTTTAAATAAAATTTGAATATC